TTTAAGGTTTAAGTTAGATATCTCTTAAAATGCTGCTTTGCACCACTGCGAAATAGGTTCCATCTCTCAGCCCTTTGGCTTCTTACCTTCAGAATCTTACATTTGGATGACCGGATGACCTAGTAGTCAAGGTAGCATCCCACCGCTTTCAGGAACCCTCATGAGTTTTCCTGGGGAAATTCCGTCCGGATATGTCCTCACCACACGGCCACACCATTTTGGGCCTGGACGAATCCATAATAGGCTTGCTAAAAATAACCTTAGTGCTCCAAGACGGAACGAGTTAATTTTAAAAAACAACCTCACACTTTTGCAATGTTCACTTACATTTCTTGGCACTTTAGTACAGCACAGAAGCTGAAGGGCGGGATTAAGGCTTTCCGAACGCTTCTCAGTGCTGCAGAGCACATCTGATAGTCTGAATTTTAACACCTAGCGCTGAAACAATACGTTTAAAAAATGTCTTATAAACATAGTTTTTTTTATCTTGTAGCCCTATAGAGCATGCGATAAAAATATCGCTACTTCCTCGCCGAACATTCCGTATAAATACGATTTTATACATTACAACCAATAAATAAATACGACAAATAATTAAATATTAATTCTCCAACTTTCTATTTTAGTTGCAACAGTCATTATTTTTCTAAGAGTATTCTACAATTATTTTAAATTAATTATTTTAATTATAAATTATATTTAGTTGAAAAGTTTTGCTCCGTCTTTGCGGAATATCTGCCTTTACTCACGAACACACTTATCGATAAAGGTGATATAGTATTATAATAAATGTATACTAATTTATTTGTTTTCATCATTTAAAATCAATCTCAATAAATATTTTCTAATCAAATAAAAAAAAAAAAATCTGAAAGAATGAAAATACTGCGTAAATATCAGATAGTAAGAGTGCTCACCAGTTGTCTAGTGGATAAAACCATTGTTAAAATGATTTTAACGTTCCTCATCAACTGGCTGGCCGCGTAGAGTTTCCCGGTTTTTCTTTAAATGCCTAACACCTAAATAGAGGCCACTATTCCCCATAGAAACTCTTCCCGAGAGGCATCACACCTCCTTGGCTGGATCGCCCGTGTGTTGCGTTGTCTTATTGTATCAAATTCAGCCAAACCAGATGCAAAAATAATTTTTCAATAATCTGTATTATTGCTATTAATAAGCAATTTATTTAGTTTCCAAAACAATTTTTTTTATAATAAAATTAGTAAATTTTGCTTCAGCTTTCATTCCTGTTAGTATTTATTAATAAATTCTGTTATCTAAATATCTAATAAGTTTATTTTTTAGTAAATTCTCTTAGCTTGTACTAGACTAATCCAAATATCTTCTTTTTTTCCTCTCTAATACAATAAAAAATGAAAGAAAATATTCCAGCTTATTAAATCGAGAAGAAATTAATATCAATTACAATTACAATAAAATAAATTTTTTCTGCCTTAAAGATCGTACATTAATTACATTTACAGTTTTTGAGCAACTTTTTACCTTCTTTCTGTTGTGTATAGTAATGTACTTTTCGCATACCTCCTTCCCTTTAATTACGCGTACAAACCCCTCTTAACATTGAAGAAATGACTTTAAAAGTACTGCAAATGTTTACTAACTGATAGTTTATTCATACGAATATAAGTAAGCTTATAAGGACAAATTCGTACGTTACTAATACTATTAAAAAAAAGTCCACCTAGACGGTCTCGACGTCTTCCCCATCGTATTCTCCATTAATGATGTATTTTTTGGTGACTCCTCTCACCCTTAAACTGTACACGTAATTAATGAACAATTCTTTATTAATATAAGATAATAATTTATTACTTTGTGAACATTGATAGAACTTTCAATGACAAGAATCAATAAGATTGATAAAGTATTTATTATAAATTCTTCTTGATTGATTATAAATAAGGTAAAATAATAACAGAATTTTGCGATAATTTTCACTGTTGAATAAAAAAAATCTATGGATATAGAATCAAATGAGTTGGACTATTGTTAATTTTAATAAACACAAAATATTGTTTTAACTTGCAGTTTTAGTTTTATTATTAAAAATCGTATACCAGTAACATTATTAATCAAACTGTACAACATGCCTGATATCAACTATTGTAAGCTGCAACAAGAGCTGGATGGCCTGAAAAATCGTCGGTCTGTATTGAGAACTGAATGCAATTTCTCTTTGAAATTTACAAATATTCGTGGTTTGTTTGACTCGTATATGTAGGTAAAGTTCTCATTATAGGCTGAGCTCGTATCGAGTATAGAAAAAGCCCTCTAAATGTTCGGAGGTTGGAAAGACTTAATAGAAAGTCGTTGTAAAATGCAAGCCAAATATCAAATAACGTTAAAGACATAAATGTTTTGTTAATTGGGTTGCAATTTGAAAAAATGTAGGCCTATAAATTCCCACTGTCCTTTGTCCGTCTGTCTTTCCTTAATCTCGAGAATGGAGTTAGATAAATGGAAGATGAGACCAGATGTGGAAATTTTAGGGATAGGAAGCCCCGATTATATGAACGTCCAATACAAATAGGATATCGTTATTTCGATTTAAAAATTTTTCCCTTAAAAGTGGATGGATGACCGGCATGACTTTGTTGTTAAAAGAAAAGTATGATGTACAGGGGCAATACATTACTAATTTGAGGTGGAGAGCATATATTTTAAATGAAATAAATTAAAACTATGATTAAAAATTGCAACCCGGCATTGTGACGATGTCATAATAAATAACTGTTCGTTGAATGTTAATGTTATTGAATAATTCTCTACGCTGTATGTTTTATGAAGGAATTAGAAGCATGGCAGAGATGACAATGGTAATCGTAATCTCTCTCCGTTTTGTATTGATTATTACTGAATTTAAATACACGAATCTGTACATCTTGTAATGATAGAACGAATATGATCTATAATGAGTTACCTGAATTAGGGAACAGTATTAATAAATTATTATAATGCAGAGGTTTTTACGCAGATTAATTTTATTTATATTTTAATATTTCTCAATTTCTCGGATCAAATTATCTTCCTGATAATCGTTCGTTTAAGAGAAAATACAAATGTCAAACGTGTGCTAATTTTAATAATACAATCTCCTTGAAATTGAGAAACAACGAAACTATAAAAAAGTGGTAGTATATGAAAAAAATAACATTTTATACTTTTAAAAAAGCCAAGTAATATACATTATATTAATAATGTGAAGAGTATTTTTAGATTTCATTGTTTATAAGTATACTAGCGTTAACAATAGACTCATTTTATTCGTTATAATCACTCAAAAACCCATTTTACTTGACATAGTTTTCCAATGAATACTCTCAAATAAAGCAATGTAACGTAAAAGACCCAAAATAACTTTAATTAAATGAAATAATGGCTTATCATTTCATAAACTTTATGTTACAATAAAGTTCTTGTTTCGTTTAGTTGCCAACTTTTAATTTATTTTTTTTATTTTGGCAGCTCCGGATGACCGAGGCATTAAAGGAATTAGCCTATCTAACTGGAGGGTGTAGATTTAAGTTTTCCTGGTTTTCTCCGCATGTCTATCACCTAAATAGGTGACAGCTTCCCATAAAAATATTTCCGGGAGGCAGTCCCCATTTTGCAGATCTCCCATGTGTTGTAGTGCCTTATACCATCAACCGATTGGATTGGTGGTATAAGACACCACAATCCTAGATTTGAGTCACGGTTGACTGAGAATAGGATTGGATTAATGAAATACTTTCTATGTAAAGCTACTACTATTTAGGTGATAGATACGTAAAGAAAACCAAGAAAATTCCATGTGGTCGACTTACTAACAGTTTTCGATAGCTTTATCCACTCGGGCACTGGTGGGTGCGCTAGGGCAGAAAATGTTTTTAAATAGCGAAAATGTGATGAAATCGCGGTTTAATTCAAAAGTACATGATATTAAAGCATGCACATTTACATACATATATGTAGTATTTCCCCCGGGCTATCTTCTTCCGGTCTATATAGGCTAATAATTGCTAACTTGTAAGTGATTTATTGTCAAAAATCTAATTTCAATTAATAATTCTTTTAAAATAAAATATTATTTATTGAACAATTACGGTTACTCGACAGAAGAAAATCTATGAACTTCGTAATCATAGATTCAATTTTATTTTGTCGATTGTTCAAATTTGTTTATCCTTTGCGATATTAAAATATGCTTGCATGAGAATTAAGATAAGATTTTTATGGAAGTACAGTACATATTCCATCAGGAAGAATTACAATGAATATCATAAGAGAGAAGAGAAAATAAGAAAGTTCGAAGCGGAAACGTTAATGAAATAAGTAGGTTAATGACTTTTTCGATATTTTTACATTAAAGTTATTTTTAATTTATAGGTCATTACCAATAAGAAAAAATTAAAATTGTATTTATTTTCCTTAATCTCTCTTTAAATTCCTTATCAACGCATTACGGAATTGATAAACGGATAATGAATTCCCTTGATAATATTTAACTCGTCGATTGTGGCTTACAGCCGAACTTCAATATAACGTTCTCCCTGTATAACGCTACCTCGTAAAGCTGCAACAAATACTCGTTTCCGTAAATATTAAATCGAAAACTCTTCAGTAACTGTGACTTTAGCATTATATACGAAAGTGTAATGGCTAAGTCACCGTGGTACGTGGTATTTCAAACACCCAAGCTCAAAATTATGCGCATGCATACCTCGTTCTTTCGTATCAATCGATTCAGCGGTAGTTCTAAATAGAGATTTAAAAATCGAATTTATAACATAAAAAATTTTCCTAAATCAGTATTATTATTGATAATTATTCTATTTATTCTATTTATTCATTCGTAATCGGTTCGAAGCTCCGTCATTGGAATCAGTCATAAAGAAAATACCAGTCATATGATAAAATACTTCCTCACGTGAATATATTTATCAGTAAAACCATTACTTAGAAAGGGGGTAGAAGGGAAGATATCCAGACAAGTTTGGCGTCAATCCAAATATCGATCAACTCGCGTAACACTCTCCAAAGCTGGCAAAGATAATCGATGGAATTTTTTAAACAGTGTGGTTTATATTCGTTACGAATAGTCTTATTTTAATATTTAAATTAATCTATTTATAAGAATATTTGAAGGATGGAAACCGGTTAAGAGATGACCTCCACTTTCACATCCGGAAAACTTCCTCTTTCTGTTTGTCTGTTCTAATTCGAAACAGGCTGAGATTAAATTGTTTTTTTTTTTTTCTTTAAATATTAATATGTTACTACTGTAACATATTATAAACAGAAATTTTCTTATCTACTACCAACGAAAGCGAACGTAAGTTTTCCTTTATTAACTAAATATAGACACGATCAATTAAAGAACAACCTACATCTACCAGTTATATGAATGAAATGAATAGAATAAAAATAATGTTATAATGAATTAAACAATGTCTTAAACTAGAAAATATTCTATTCTCCTGTCTAAACTGTCAAGTAAGTAACTGATTTTTTAAATTTTATAATAAAAAATCTGGTACAGATTTATATTTTAGGTCTATATTTTTACATAAGGTAAATCTAAATAATATATTATTTTTTTTTTAAATAAAAGGTGCTAATTATGTATTAATGCGTCTTATTTAGTATTACGTTAACGACTAAGTGACAGAAAAATGAGTTGCTACGTAGAAGATAAGCGTGCAACCGTTCGAAAGTTCAATAGAAGATAAAACAGGGGCGAAGAACAAAGAACGTATCAAATTTATATAAATATCGATTCAGTAACACATTGAAATTTGACAGGAAAGAATTAGAGTTCGCTTCTTACATTAACAAGGGAAAAAAAACCTCACGTGTTGAATTAGGCCAAGTGTTCAAGGTTATGACGTCAAGATAGAAACTTATAAGTCACGTGTAAAAATATCGTAAATAAAGTACTCGATAAAGAAAGGATTGTAGACACTCCGTTTCGGTTCACTCGTTCACTATGGAGTTGGTAACCACTTTCACTCCGATTGTAATGTTTGTATTAAGGATTATTAGGACTATTTTAGATTATTTCACAAATATGATCTTCGGATTAATTTATTTACGGAATACGGAAAGAATCGAATGCGTGAAGAATCCGTTATTATTGGAGAGCGCATCTTCGTTAGCTGAAAAAATTCGAAAGAAAAAGGTAGAACGATATTCCTTAAGATTGTGTTATGGAATGTAAACTAGTATTTAACTCAGTTATCTTTTTGTAGGTGAAAAGCATCGATGTTGTAAATGCTTATATAGCTAGAATCAAAGAAATTCAACCGATATTAAACGTTATTGTTGAAAGTAGATTTGAAAATGCTTTAGAAGATGCGAGAAAAGTGGATCAAATGTTGGCTTCTCAAGAGTTTTCTGAAGAAGAATTACGAAAGAGGTTTCCGTTTTTGGGGGTTCCTTTCTCTTGTAAAGAGTCTCTTGCAGTTAAAGGTAAAGCACACATATACACAAATTTCTTTAATAATAATAATAATAATAATAATAAGTTAAGAATTAAGGTTAAGTCCTTAAAACTAAACTAATTTTTAGTAAAGGACCGTCCACTAATTAAGTTTAAGGGAAGAGGAGTCCAAAAAGTAAATCGTTGTACACGTTGAGGAGAAAAAAGGGTCGAGACATTGTCTACTTGGACGTTTTAGTAGTATTAGTACTTATTCTTGTAAGATTACTTATTAGTTAGAAAATATTTACAAAACTTTTTAGTAATTTCTTCAATATCAGAGGAGTTCGTGAACTATACTCTTTAATTAGTAGTACAATAACACGTGATTAAAGAATGGGTTGTCAAACGTACTATACATTATTATACACAACAGGGACGGAGGGGAATAAAAAATGGCTAAAAAATGTGCACGTAGTTAAAGAATATAAGTACTAAGTTAAAGAATATAGTACTAAGTATGAAGTTCTGTTTTCAATCATTTAGTGAATTACATTTTATTTTTTCAATGTAATTCATTTTAATTTTTAGCATGATTTCCTGTTTAATAACTGTGTCACTTTTGATACTTTTATCTTTATTATAAAAGGTCAAAATAATATAACTTACTTAAGTTTCAATTCTACAGACATTGCTTTAAATATATTTGTTTTTATTTACCCTATAACGTTATAAAATGTGCTAGAAACTATGTTAAAAAGTAAGAAATAGGAAAACATATTGTGCTGATTAAATATTGTGCACATTAGATACAATAAATTATTTGTAATCAGAACTTCCGAAGCTCAACTAAATTTGGAAGACGAGATTAAATTCTATAAAAAAATGCCTCCCAAATTTCGTTGAAAAGATTGAAGAAAAGTGCAGCTTCATAGTAAATGAACGGCAGTAGACATTGTTACTCGAAAAAATCCAGCAACGAGTTGCTTAACTTTCCCGGTAACATTTAAAAATTTGGTGACGCTATCTGTTACGATATTTTATTTTAAAAACTTTTTATATTTTTAATCACTATAAAATGGAAAAAGCTTAATTTTAAGGGTAGGGATGAGTTTTATTTAAAAAGACAAAAAATGTAAATGCTAATAACGAGGAAACTAGTCATTAAGTTCGACCTTACTCGAGTTACACACGACTCCCTTTATCTCACCGCCCCATCTACCTTTTATCACCAAAATTTAATAATATCAATCCCCCTAATACACAAACCTCCTTGCAAAATTTAAGAAATTTTCGATAAAATGTACAAGAGTTATTAAGCTTCAAAGAGGGTGAACAAAATTATGCCCTCACACAGAAAAATACCCCGAAATTTTTTGCATTTCTCGACGTTTCAAGGTTCCCTGAGTCCAAACACGTAAAAATCTGAAAGGATCAATTTTTTGACCGATCGCGACACTTTCCTCTGTTATATATAACAGCCGGGAAAGTAAAAATTGTAAAAAATCTAATGACTCTATCAATCAATAGAGTTCAATACAACAGATCGCCGAGAAAGTGAAAATATATAAGACATTCAATAGGAAAAACTGTTGTGTTATACCCTTCAACATTTTCAACAAGAATTTTGTGATGATTCATATCTTCATTTGTAATCCCTCAATCAGTTTGCATCTCTAATCAGTGCTTACGATCAGAAATAATAGATCTGTCTTGACAACAGATATTCATGTTTGTTTGCCTTCTATCAAAGACGAATCGTTATCAAAATCTAGATATCACACAATATCGTTCAAATATTTAAAAACTGTTTTATGGGCACATAATTTTATACCTAAATTTTTTTAAATTATTAAAGATTTTTGGATTTAAAGTCTCCATAATTGTAAAGGATTCGTCTTACGCGATCACTTATAAATAACACAATAGGATATATTTAAACATTTAACTGAATGCATACGAGTACTTTTCCTGCAACGTAAGTATTATAGATTATTCGAAAACATATATACAATATTATATTTTTATACTTTCAATGTATTGATACATCAGTGATATGAGGAAATAATGTTCTATCTCAGATAATGAATTATCAGATACAGAGAACGATAATACAAAACATAAATAATAATGATCTTGTTTGGTACATTAAATGATCTTAAAATGCAAAGTCCATAGACTAAAGTGCAAGTTGATGAGGTAATTGTGGTTTAATAATTTTCTCAAAATAAATTATAAATATATGTCGTTGGCTAATTTCGCTTAGCAACATCTTTATAAAATGACTAATCTGCATAAATTTGTACAAAAAGTTACAGTTATTAAATTATTTAGACTAATGTATATTGTAATAACATAGTATTATGGATTCCCGCTCTTATAATGTATCTAAAACATGGAAATTCGTCTTAAAGCGAATCATTCTATTTCTAATAAATTGGCATTATGTTTTTAAAAACGCAATTTAAACTGTATACAAAATGACCAAAAATACACTCATTTGAAAAAAAAAAAAAAGTGTACGCTTCAAGAAGAATGCATTGAAATCGAATGAAACTTTATTACTGTCAACGTAATGAGAATAAGTGATTACAATATCATAACAGTGAGACAATTTCCTGTGAAACAATAATATAGTTTAAACGAATCTTTAGTATCTTGTAGGACCTCCTCTTGCCTGGATTTATGCTGTTGGGCATGCAGATATACAAGCACCACATGCTATCCTACGAAAGATTTGTCACAGATGTTCCAATTGCCTCTCCAGACCCTCACACATGTAGATGGCAGAAGTTGGCATCCCATCTGGTCCTGCCTACCAGTGCCCGGTGTATTCTATCACTGAACACTAGTAGTTGATCGCGGGTTCGCTTTTATACTTATTGTATATATGAAAAATACTCAGAATACAGTAGTATATTATTACGTTAATGTTTAGAAATGGTAAAATTTTTATGATATGAAATTTAAAAATTCATTTTTAATTGTCAGGTATGCACCACACTGCTGGATTGTATTCGAATAAAGATAATAGAGCTTCAGAGAATTCCGAAGTAGTCGCACTGCTAAAGAAAGCTGGTGCCATACCATTAGTCACTACTAATGTTTGCGAGCTGTGTTTAACTTGGGAAACATCAAACAAAATATATGGTCGGACACGTAATCCTTATGATGTCAAAAGGATCGCCGGAGGAAGTACAGGCAAGTTTAAGCCTAGATAAACATACTATAAACATGATAATCTTCCTTTGAATATAATTTAGAAATAGAATTGAAAAAAACATGTTTTGATTCGATTAGAATGATTACTTTTTTCTGACACTAAAGTGCAAAGACCACACCGTCTAGTCGAAAGGTAGAAAACGGTCAGAGATAAATAAATATAAATAAATTATAATCTGAAGTGAAAATTTTATTTTATATATTTAATTTTATTATTTGATTCATTGCTTGATAAAATAGTATTTATTTGTTTTGTTTTGTTAATGGCTACTCATATTTGAAGTTCTTTTTACGTAGATGATCGTGATTAAAATATCCTTGTTTAATGCTGTATACAGAGATGTTTAGCAGTCGAAATGCAGCCAAATTGATGTCGTGACATTTCAAGACATGCAGAAAACATTTCTATAAAAAAAAGTAGTATTTTTACAAAAATGTCTTCCATAAAAAATCTAATTTTTAACATGTTTTCGATAAAACGCACTTTCTATGTGTTTTCACAACCAAAAATTACAAATATCGAGATCCAAAGCGCCAAAAATGCCGTAGTGATAAGTTTAGATACTATTATTTTATATTTTTTATGAATATTTTTATAGCTTTATTATTTTTCCTCGTGTTCTAGAATTTCACTATACTGGATTTAGTTGCATTTGGATTGCTAATTATCTCTCTGGATAGAGTTGAATGGAGTTATTTTAATTACGATCACGATCACTCGATAAATAAACACTGTATATAAATTTTAGAATTTAGATTATCCCACGATTCGTACATAAAAATATTTTGTGAATTTTTATTATTAAACGCTTTATTCATATTTTAGACTATAAAATTTCATGTAATTTTTACAAAATATATTATTCATAGATACAATGATTCTCTGAATAAAAAATTGACCTATTTGTGTAAATGATATCACCCTTGATTTCGTTGGAAGAAGTCACTTCTTCCAACGAAATCAAGTTTATTAAATTAATTTTAGCTTTGCATATAGATAAAAAAATTACTTTTCAATTTATTTAATTATTCTAATAGGTAAAACGTGATAATACTTAATGATAATCTTAAATGACTTCAACATAAAATTTTGAAACATAAATTACAGCATTATATTGAAAAAATTCATAAATTTCGATTTAGATTACTATCTGGTGTTATTTTATATTTAAGGAAATATTTTAGACGTGTTTATAATATTTAAATTATTAAAAAGTTCGTAAAAATTTTAAAATGGAATTTAATGGAATAAGGTAATGCAATATATGGGCAATCTGCCTAGAAGGTGACTCTCGAGAAGACTACCAAGGAAATCTTCTCGAGAGTCACCTTCTAGGCAGATCGCCCATAGGCAGGTCATCTTCTTCTCTATGGGAAGACTCCACTTTCCCATAGAGGAGACAGATCACCTCCTCTATAGAAAAGTGGCCTATATTTAGGTGTGGCACGTGAAGAACACCCAAAAAAAGTAATTTCACACGGATAGCCCGTTGGTGAGACGCTAACCCACGGCCAGTGTTCAGTAGTTTTATCTACTCGGACACTGATAAGCCTTTCAAGTGGCTTATTTGACAAAAGTTTCCCCGATAGAATTCCAATAGAGATTTATATAATTTCTTTTAAATGTTATAACTAAACAATTAAAGTATAGGCTATCTACAAATGTAGCCATTCGTATAATTTTATAGAATTCTTCTGAAATATCACATAATAATTATCCATTTTATAATATTTTATTTCTAGAATTTTTATATGTTTATTATTATTATAATATGTTAACAAATACAATACTTTAAGAAGTAAACAAAAATAATCAATCCAGTTAAGATAAAGTACACGCGATAACGAGTGTCTTCATGTTTAAACATTTAAGATAAACGTCTTTAGTTTGCTTAATTATCTCTTTTTACAACGACCGAAAATATTTATCTTAATGTTCAAATATATGAACGTCTCTTATCGTGCTTACTATGTGTCAACACAAACGACGATATATTTTACAAAACTGGCAAGAGAACATCAAACAAACTGATATTTTTTAAGCTTAAAAAACATCATTTTACGTGCAAAATATTTTATAAAATAGGCTATAAACTTCTAAAATCATTTAATTTCGGACGTCATGGATTAAAATTATTTTCTGGAAATCATCATCATCATCATCATCATAAGCAGTAAGTGCGTGTGTAGACCCTTTCACTTTTAACTTCAGACAGTTGATCTTTCCCTTTCTTTATCCACTCGGATTATAATGCGTTATTTTGTATGGAATTCTATTAGGAGGCATTTACATTGCATGTTGATATCGGTTGATCTCGGTGTTTCATATTTAATTATTGGCGGATTTCTTCATTTTTATCAGATCAACTATGGCGAATTTAAGTCATTTCTAGAAATATAAATTCCTTTAATTACGTAACTCAGATATTGGTGGATGGATATGAAGGTATGAGTTAAGTAATTTTGGGATTGAATATGTGCGACGGTGTAACGGATCATTACTGGGAGTGGAATGATAATTGGAAACTATAAAAATGGCGTTACTTATTTTATGGACGATCATCAAAATATACAAAAAGTTTGAAAATTATATTTTTAATTAATAAAATGAATGAAAAATTTGTGATATCCTTCCAATTTAAAATGTAACTATAAAATTTAAGTTTATCTGTGATAACCACGTGTAATTAGAGTCAAAATTGATTGAAGTGTGCATTTTTACAGTTCCTGACTTTTGAATCATCTCGTATATTAAATTTTGTAATTTTGCAAATGACAACTAATAAATTATATCTGAATCATTTCCATTAACAAATTATTAAACATATATTTAATGATAAAAGTATTTGAAATGTATAATTTTTATCTTTTCTTTCATTGTTAAATTGTTATTAAATCAAACGTCAGTTGTTTTGATGAAACATTCGCACGTATTTATCTATGATAACACTTTCCTTATATCTGATTCATATTCCAAATAACATCAGAAAGATAATTAATTACGTAAGATGTTATTGATGATTACTATTTTATATTTGGCCTACTTATAGACTAATAAATTATTTAATTTTGTTGCCGTTGAACTAATAAATGGTTTGATGCATTCGTTTTACATAAAAATATTGAAGAATGAATTAAGAAATTTATCAATATGTACGTAATAACTAATCTATTAGTTCCAGATAGAGGAAATGCAGAATGATACCCCTGCAAAATTATCTGGCACAGTTCATTCCACCAAGCCGAATCCATGATGAGCATGAATGTGTGGGTAGTGAAGACTGAGTACGATATATTTAGTACTACTTATATAAAAGGTATCTGAGCCGCGCTCGAACCGGATCTTTAGCAGCAGAGGACTGGTGCCTGGATTTTATCCAGCCATTTATTGTTACAATTAGTCTAATAAATATTTCTGCGAGGTATTGTTTAGATGAATAAAGAAATAATTGCAGAAATCGATACGGTATGGAGTAGAGTATAGGATTAGGCAACGCAATACACGAGCGATCTGCCAAGGATGGAGTACCTCCTTCTTTCTTTCAAAGAAAGAACTTTCGATGGGAAATTTAGGTGTTTGACACGTCAATAAAACCAAGAAAACTCCACCCAGCCAGTCCGTTGATGAGCCGAGAACCCGCGAACCAACTACTTGTGTTTAGCAGTTTTATCCACATTAATTATGGCACACTCTCGATTTCCTTCTATAAACTATTTTATTCGGAAACTTTTTCCATTTGATAATTTAAGTTATCTGAATTCTGCACATCATTAAATTTTATGCTAAATTCACAAAAATGCAATTGTTGGATAAAATGTAATGGAGAAGATCGGTATGAAGTAGTGTTGTAACGAATAGTATATTCGGCCTCAGGCCGAATACCGAATATTCGGCCAGGAGCGTGGCCGAATAGCCGAATATTCGGCCAGGAGCGTGGCCGAATAGCCGAATATTAGGCCAAACTATTCGGCTTGATTAACGCACGTACGAAAATTGGCGCGCAAACCGTATTATGGCAAAGATCCTGTCTCTATTGGCCCGCTGTCACTACGCTTCGCCAATCGCGTTAATTCTTGGCAGTTGTAGCGGACAGACAAGAGTGTCATGGAAGTATGTGATAAATGATATCAAATGTGGATAACAGTGAAATGACCTACACGTGTAAATAACGGAAGAAAAGAAGAGAGAAGGACCGCGAAGTTAAAATGTGAAAATAAATATGAAATTGAGTTGATAACATAATCGAACATGTCGAGGCAGCTTATTGGCACGAAATTCGCGGCCGTCAATGCCAAACAATTGTTGTCATAGACTTCGGAAAGCTAAATGCTTGTAATGAAAGACACTTAGCGTGCACGGACGAAAGCCTGGGGCCGTTCGGGCTATCGAGCTGTCTCGAATCTGTGAAATCATAACTGTGACTTATATCGACGTCCTATCTGTCTCTTTTCTCCGTTGTCACCGGGCTGAGTCACGTAATTGTAAAATGGAAACTCTACGACGGAAAAGTGACGAATCGAAAGTATCGTGAGCGCTTATTATGATGTATGCACAGGCATACATGGATTAGAGCGATAGAGGTAAGAGAAAGGGAAGAGCAAAGACGAGCGCTTAAAAAGAAGGATAGGCAGGGTCAGACCCTCAGATATGCGAGGATTCTCCAACGATAGACGTGTACGTGTGCTGATCTTTGTAATTATAAATTGTGAATACATGTGACTAATATTATTCTCTTTTTTATTTTGTGCATGTTACAAGTTATAAATAAATATAAACAACTCTATAACATTAACTCTATAACATTAACTCTAAATATCAAAATGATTAATTTACTGTGTTTTTGTTATTTATTACTCCTGTTTTTAGGTATTTGGTATTCGGCCGAATAGTGATTAAATATTCGGTATTCGGCCGAATAGTGATTAGGTATTCGGTATTCGGCCAAATAGTGAAAAATAGGCCGAATAGGCCGAATACCGAATAGTAACCGAATATTCGTTACATCACTAGTATGAAGGTGATCATTTGAAACTCAATTGTACATCTTTCAATTTATTTTCAGATAAAGTTAACATCAATTAGAGCCAAGCGGTTGCCGGATTATATCGGGCTATATTATTACTATTATTATTAATTAAATGAGAAGTACTGTAATTTGGCACTAGTGTCAGACGTTAGGCGCCATTTCTTGCTAAATTTAATAATTACAATTAAATTATTGTTTTAGCAAGAGATGGAACCTAACGCCTGCCTCTAATGTCAAATTGCTTAGCATTTAATTAATAATAGTAATAGTAATATAGCGCAATAACTTATAATCCGGCATTCGTTTGGCTTTAATATAGCCTACGATATAACTATCGGGTTTAAGATGTTTATATTTGTTAACATCAATTTTAAACAATACTAATTTTTTGAACTGTATTTAGTTAGCCTATGGCTCGGATTTCGATTGAATTTATAAATAGCAGTGCCTCGTACTTCGAATTTAATTCGTTCCAGAAGGTAGTTTGAACTTTGAATCGTTCGAAGTTCTAATATTTTTCCCCATTAGAAAAAATGGAAAGTGAATTAATCCGTGCCCAGACCCTAAACAATACCCATTTCGATAAACTTAAACAGCAAATACACATAACATAAAGTAAAAGTAACGCAACTAAATGCCCTACATAATAAATTAAAGCATGAAAACAATAAGAGAAATACGTAAATACTGTATAATAAAATAAAAATTACATTTAGGCCTACTTACTATACCTTAGTGAAGAGTGGTGATGTCCCGTTTCTTAAGATGACGAATTAGATGCCGTGCACCATTATTATTAACAAGGAAGCAAGAAAAGCAACAAATGCAGCTGAAGATGTAACATCCGACATCTCATGTTATTGAAGAGTTGAAAAACTCCTCCTGTTATGAATAAATGAGAAGTAATTGACAGGTGATATCATCTCCGAGATAATTATTTTTGAGAACTCGAACAAGCTGCACAGTGCCCTTAAACATGATACATGTGTGGCGATCTGGTGGCCAGATCCCCACACATATAGGCCTACTGCTTTCATGCCTTACCTATGAACCATGGCATCCAAGAAAAGTAACGCAAAAGATGCGTTACGCTCAAGAGTTTTTCTCGAATTTAGCATTCGAACTATGAAACGTTCGAGGTTAGAGTCGTTCGAAGTACGAGATACCACCGAATGATAGTTGTTCGGTGGGTTCAAGCATAATCAGTGGGCAAGTCGCGTGGAATTTTCCGGTTTTTTTCACTTAAATAGAGACCAATTTTCCATTTGAAGTCCTCCCCTGGTGGCACCTCCTATTTGACAGATGGTCCATGTATTGCGTTACCTCATCTCATTAATGAAGTAAAATTATTAATGTGTTCTGAGCAGAGAGTAGAAATTTTTAATTTAATTAACAGATGAAAAAGATTTATCATGGGAAAAGTTGAATCGAATATACGAAATTAACAAAGTAATTTGAAAGATTATTTAATTTCATTTGGTTTTAGGAGGTGAAGGTGGCCTTCTGGGTGCTGGAGGATCAATAATTGGAGTTGGTTCTGATCTGGCGGGTAGTATTAGAATACCTGCATTTTTTAATGGTGTCTTTGGACATAAACCAAGCAGAAGTAAGTGAAACATAATTTGAATATAAGTACTGTAATTTCTTTTTATTAGTCATGCAACTGTTGAAAAAATATTCGTTTAGATATTGTTTCGAATGCTGGACATTTACCAAAAATGGGACTGCAATATTCGGATTTTCTTGTTTCGGGACCTCTTTGCCGTTACGCTACAGACTTGTTGCCGATGATGAAAATTTTAACAGGAGATAAAGCGTCGCAACTGAATCTAAATAAAAAAGTTGGTTTTTAATATAAAAATTTTAAATATAAATTAAATATATTTCTTGTGAAATCATATTATTTAATTTATTTAACAGGTGGATTTCAGTAAAATAAAAATATATTACATGGAAGATGATGGAGGTAATCCATTGTGCACTCCTGTTTCTAAAGAATTAAGAACGGCACAGAAGAAGGTAAGTGTATTTATCTCTTTTTATAAATAAATAATTTTGAAAAATTTTCTTTCGTTTCAGAAAAATACTAGATAATATAATAGAATATTTAGGAATTAAAACGTAATTTGAAGATTATTGCATGATCAAAGCATTAATATTTTAGAAATTTCTTAGAATTACACTCCTGCGTGCTGTTTACGTAAATCTTCAAGTGTTTTTTAGAAGAATGTTGGAGGAAGGATGCGCAGAAATTTGGTCACTTTTCCTACGCTTCATTAATCAATGGGGCGTGTCATCCAGTCAAGTATTTTTTCAGCTCCCAAAACAGAAAACTCACTAAGAGCGAGATCAGGGCTATTTGAGGGATATGGGAGCTCTTGAAATCAACATTATTCAACTGTCGTTTTTGTGACATGGCTAGTGAGGACAAGCGCATTGTCTTGAAGGATGAAAAGAGAAACCTTTTTTTGATTTCCGACGCAGTTTGCCTGTCCTCACCACTAGTTCCGAGTAGCAGTTGCCATTCCTGACAGAAAAAAGAAGTCACCAAATTTCTAAACACATCCTTCCTCCAACATTCTTCAAAAAAGCAGTTGAGGATCGTTTCCTTCGCTTGAGAAAGTTTGTAGATTAAAATGGCTCGTATATTAAAAATTAAATATTTGTAATGTTTAGTAGCCTTTTATTAGTAAAAAGTTTTATAATTTTCTGTTTTTTCCATTAAAGTGAGTCTGAGGATTTACTGACCCAACCACGTAGATATTCAAAGTGGTTGATATCCATCGTTTCTTTTAATCATTTGATTTTTTTAATGGCGAATACTGTTTATGTAAAAATGTTCTCAACTTGAGATATCGTAGCCAAAACGATGCTTAGTTTTGGCTATTGTAGATAGGTCTGATCTTCAATAAAGCCGAATAGGACGGATTACAAATGGATAACAATGTTCTGCTTCGTACTGACTATGAAAAATCACAAAAATTTCATCTTTCCGAACATTACTTCTCACATTGAATACTCTTCGAACTACAAAAAAAAACCACCTTTTTCCATTTTTCGCCCATTTCCGTCCTGTCTGCAATGAAAGGGTCTTTTTCGATACCCATTGTGGATTCGGCCGGCCAACAATACGAACAGCCGGGTGGTGAGGGTTAGGATTTCTAGGATTTGTGACTAGGACTCGATCAAGGGTTTTCAGAACTGTAGGTTGACGCCGGTCGCCTTGCGATCTATCTCCTGTCTCTCTTCCCTTCGGAGTAAAAGCGAATAGCAATACACTCCCATACACCCAGGAACAAGGAACAAGGTTGACGCCTTAATCGCCTCTACGAGAAAACATTAAAAATAAATATAATCTTTCCCACAAATCTTAACCAAATATTATTTTTAATATAATGTATTACTTTTATACAGATCGCTAAAATTCTTAAGCGCCCCTTGTAAGTCATACAAATAATTTATGTAGTGCAGGATACATTTCTGTGAAAACTGTTTTCACAATAAACATATACCTGTATTGAAAATGGAACTATATTTTATTATGAACAAATAAACTTGTGAACAAACATTTAGAATATATGCCTTCTCTTTCGAGGAGCAGTTGACAAACACATGTCCTCTTAATATAATTGTGAGAACATGTGACAAGACTAACAAAAACAAATAGAAAATAAATATGAAAAGCCCATCTGTGCATTCTCTTCGCGAGGCAACAAGAAACCACATGTCTACTCCTAGACATATCGTTTCTTGTTGCCTCGCGAAAGAGAATGCATATAATCCAAATGTCTCTTCGCCATTTCGCTTGTCATTAGACACAATATCAAGATAAAATAGACTTAGATTTTCAATTTATATGTTTGCTGTGAAAACGCAGTGTTCATAAAAACAAGTCCTGCACTGTATGTTTCATATTTTTGAATGTATACATGCATTTATGACTATTATAATATTTATATTTATATTATATTGTTGTTGAATTTACAGGTATTAACTTATTTCGAAGTGGTGTATAACGTTAAACCGAAAAAAGTTAATTTTCCTCAAATATATTATTCTACGGAAATATGGTTGAATCTCATGAAGACTGTTCAACCCCTTCAACCTACTGTGGAAATGAAAGAGAAGTTTAATTTAAAATTAGAATTATTTAAATGGTTAACTGGAAACTCTGAATTCAATTTAAATACTATTTTGTCGGTCATTTACGAATTCATAGAAGGCAAAACACCTCCCAAAGAAAAATATGTTGAAATGGAAAGAGAGCTGGAACTAGAAATGAAAGACATTCTACAAAATGACGCAGTATTTTTATATCCTTCATTTCCCGAAACGGCCGTTTATCATAATGAAACATTTTTAAAGATGTACAACATTGGTTATATGGCGATTTTCAACATCCTCGGTTTGCCAGTTACACAATGTCCTCTAGGATTAAGCTCCAAAGGTTTGCCTTTGGGAATACAAGTGGTCGGTGGACTCAATCAGGATCACCTGACGATATCAGTGGCTATGGAACTGGAAAGAGCTTTCGGTGGATGGAGAAATCCTCATCTATAAACATATTTAAATACTAATTATATAAGATTGATTCAAGAGAAATCTTCAAGAAATTCAATGCGAAAATATTAATATTGTAACATTTTAATATAATCACAATTTTAATATTATCACAGAAAATTATTGATATGCTGAATTTTTTCCTCTTTGAACTGCCTTTTATAATAATTCTTGTCACTTTTCATTTGAAAAATTAATTTATCTATTTTAATAAATGATCAAAATAATTTCAAAAATTTGTTTTTTATATTTTCACTTCTATTCTCAAGGAAGATCAGCACGTTTGGCTTTATTTCTCCGATAGAGCGATGATGTCAGTATCCGATGAGCCGGACAAAGTCTATAACTTGGTCATATGCAGGGAATAATGCCTTCCGGAAGATCTTTTCGAGTGTAACTGGTTCTTATTTAGGCGTTACAGACGTGGAGAAGACCCGAAAACTCCACGTGGCCAGCCCGTCCTGGCCGAAATGCGAGGCGCGAACTCCCAGTGTTTAAGGAACTGGAACCGCTTGTGTGCCTATATTTCCACTTAATTCGAAACAGTATTTTAACATACAAAAACATTTTTTTCAAAATCAATATTGCATGCATGTACAGTACTGTACGATAAAACTTTCAATGAATATCATAATTCAATAATATCATGTTAATAAATATTTCCACGGAGTTTTGCATCGTGCATGTCGGTTATTATTATAACTACAGTAGAGCGTCGTTTATCCGAATCAATTGGGGACTGGGGTGGTTCGGATAACTTATTTTTCGGATAACGAATCATGTACGAAAAAATATATTAATTTATCCCATGTTGAAATTTCTCTCCGTTTCGTGTCGCTTCGCGTTGAATTTTCGTCGATGTTAAGCCTAACGAAGACTATTGTATCGTTAAAAATTATTTTTTTATTTTGTACAAACAAAATAA